TTTATTTTCAATTATTAAATATTTTTTATTACTTCGGTTTTGTGAGAAATAACAACACGGCTGTAGAATTTATTTTGACCTATACCATAGATATTTATGTAAGAATTAAGTATTAATCCAATGTTAATGTGTTTTACTAATATTTACTGTTTATTCTGCACTCATATTAGTATTCTGCACTAGTATTTACATTCATTCAATCAATCATTTTCTTTTCAGCTTAGTCCCTTTACTAATCTGGGGTTGCCACAGCGAAATGAACCACCAACTTATCCACCATGTTTTACGCAGAAGATGCCCTTCCAGCTGCAAAACATCCATACACACTCATTCACACACATACACTACAGACAATTTTGCTTGCCTGTACCACCTACTTTTTGGTCTTGTGGGGGAAACCGGAGCACCTGGAGGAAACCCACGCGAACACTGGAAATGCCAACTGACACAGCCGAGGCTTGAACCAGTGACTTTCTTGCTGTGAGGCGATTGTGCTACCCACTGCGCCACTGTGCTGCCCCCTTTTTAGTATTTATCAATAGTAAAATCTATATAGTCCGTTTTTATTTTCGTTTTAGTGATTTTATTATCTATTTTTTCTTGAACTTTTTAAATTGAGCTAAATTTACATTTAGTTAATTTTTTCCTGCTTATTGTTTTAAAGATTTTTTGTAGTTTTGACTTTATCGAACAACAACAGCACTACTTCATACTCTTACATTTGCACTATAGCAGGGCTGGACTGGGGCAAAAAATCGGCCCTGGCATTTTGGGCCAGAGCGGCCCACTAAATTCAATCAAAATGCTATCTCTCTATGCACGTCCAATATTTTTATCAACTCATATTCTATAAAACACAAAAGCCATATATATGAAATAAATAAATGCAAACTTTAATCTCAATTTAATTTCTGCATATTGTCCATAAAGATATTTGTGGAATTCCCTTATTCCCTTATTTATCAGGGATTGCCGCGGTGGAATGAACTGCCAACTATTCCAGGTATGTTTTATGCAGCAGATGCCTTTTCAGCCACAACCCAATATTAGAAATCATCCATACACTCTCATTCACACAAACTCATACACTACGGCCAATTTAGCTTATTCAATACACTATTCACTCAGCCTATATTCAATAATAAACATACCAAAAACTGCCTGCTAATGCATGGGTAAATCTTCAAAGGGAACAGTGTTACATTTTATCCTCTTTCACCTCATCCTGCTTGCTGTTTCACTATCTAAACAATGAAAACATAATATAAGTCAAATTTGTTTCATTTTGATATTATGATTAACAGACACCAAACAGCCTTGTGTAGCTACATATTTATATGAGCATCATCTTCACTCTGAATATTTATGACAAAACAGGGCTTAAATATAACTGTCTCCTTTCATTTCCATTGAAAAGAACAAGCTTTACCCTGTCTCTTTTGCAGAATATCAGTTTTAATAACCAATAATAGCCATTATAACAGTATAACGTACATTAAATTTAAACGATAAAGGTAAGCAATCAGTTAATGTGCAGAATCAGTGTATGTGGTTACATAAATTAATATATTAGCTTATCTTTGCACTTAGCCAAAACAGTTAACTGAGAACAAGTGATTCAAAAGTCATAAGAATTGTTAGATAGAGACAACAAGATGAATTCAATATCACGTTTAACAACTATAGTGAGATGAGATCCAGCAGATGAACTGTCTGACATGCACTATACTCTCACCTGGGGTTTATGCTCACCCGCTGAATTGAGCTGCAGCTCTTGGCAGAGAGTGTGTGGTCACGTGATTTGCACTTTTAGCCGTGTACTAGAATGAACGGAGAACTTTTCAGAATCACTAAATGAAACGCTGGTGTATTTCCCGCGATTTATCTGCGCCTGCCTTGCGTTTCTTCTCTCTGACTCTCGACTATTTTGACAAATACACACAGACGACGCACGCTCACGCGGAGTCCAAAATAGGAGTTTGTGATTGGGCCAGACCAATGTCAATACAGAAAAGAGCCAATAGGCTGCAGAGTGTCACATGGGCCGGCCCGGTCTGTCTCTCTGGGAAAAAAAGCATCTTACTTTTAGAGAGTCACAGATCACAGCAGCGTCAATTAATAAGGCAGAAAAAAACGATAGGCTGCTAAGCCTTTTATGGGCCGATCAGATCATAAGACGATGATCAGCACGGCCCAAAAAGTATGTCGGCCCACCGGGAAAGTGCCCGGTTCGCCAGATGGCCAGTCCGCCCCTGCACTATAGTCAAGCTATAAGTCAATTACAACTCAATGTAGCTGTCTTACTTTAAAAGGGACCTATTATGCTCATTTTTACAAGATGTAAAAACTCTGTAAAAATCTGGTAAAATCTGATGTCCCCTCTTTTTTTAAAAGAGGGTGGAGCTATTAACACCTATGTGTCAGCATAGTGGCAGGTTCAAAACCTGAATTTCAGATGGCTGCTTCTCACTCAGGGCTGTCTATGGTAATGAGGGAGAGATCGTCACTAATCGGCATGGCTTTCCCTCTCTGATCCCATGTACAAAGGGAGGACGTCAATCAGAGTGTTTCTACAAAATGTTTTTTATGAAGTGTGATTATAAGAAAAAAAAGAACGAATGAATTTTTATCATTACATGCTGGCTATATTTACACACTGTTGCCACACAACTGTGTATAAACCTTTTCCAAAAGTGATTTTTGCATAATAGGTCCCCTTTAACTTCAAATTAAAAAGCTCACAAACAGTTTGAAAACTGTCTTGGAGCAAACAGACCAAGGCTAATGTCCTGTGTGAGTGTGTTTTTGTGTTTAACATGCCTCAACACATACTTGACTGAATTAATTAAAAGCGACATGTCGGCGCCGTCGGCTGAGTCTCAGATCTGTTCATCACAGAGATATCGAAAATCCACCACATTTCATTTTTTTCAATCCTCAATGGATGTTTATCAGTTTTCCCTGCCAAAAAAACACCAAAAAGAGCAGGAATTGGGAATCCAGCGAGCGAGGGGTGCCGTCATTAGGCTCAAACTAGGGCAGGACAACAAGTGGTGTTTTCATTCCAGCATGTGTTTTACCACTTCAGCTCCCTCTGGAGAGTTTTGATATATGGATGAGAAGCTGAGCTCTCCTGCAGTCACTGCTGGATCTCGAATCTTGGCAAGAGCTGGAAAAGTGGGTTAAGAACTGAGCTTGGAGAAGGAGATTCTGGAGGAACTAGATTTTGTAAATTGGCACTTCCTGCACTGTCAAAAATGCTGGGTTCCACACAATTCATTCACGTTACAACACAAATCAATGAAGTTAACAAATTTATATAGAGCATAAAACAATTAAGTTATCCTAAAAAAATCTCCAGAATTGTGTTGTTTTAGCTCATGAAAAATAAGTAGTTTGAAGCAGCAAAATATACTGAAGTCAGAATTATTAGCCCCCCTTTGAGTTTCTTTTTCTTCTTTTTAAATATTTCCCAAATTATGTTGAACAGAGCAAGGAAATTTTCACAGTACGTCTGATAATATTTTTTTCTTCTGGAAAAAGTCTTATTTGTTTTATTTCGACTAGAATAAAAGCAGTTTTTAATTTTTTAAAAATCATTTTAGGGTCAAATTTATTAGCCCCTTTAAGCCTTTTTTTTCAATAGTCAAACCATCATTATACAATAACTTGCCTAATTACCCTAACCTGCCTAGTTTACCCAATTGGCTAAGCCTTTAAATGTCACTTTAAGCTTATAAAGAAATGTCTTGAAAAATATCTAGTCAAATATTACTTACTGTCATCATGGCAAAGATAAAATAAATCAGTTATTAGAAATGAGTCATTAAAAATATTATCTTTAGAAATGTGTTGAAAAAAATATCTCCCTTAAACAGAAATTAGGGGGGAAAATAAACAGGGGGCTAATGATTTTGACTTCAACTGTATATCGTTTTCGTAGTTCAGTTGAATACATGTTCTGTCAGAATGTCAATTTATTTTAATTAAATTTACAAATAATATATTTAGATGTTCTAGATTACATGTTACATGGATTTTGAGCAAGATCCAATAAAGTATTATGTCCAATAAAGCATTATATATATATATATATATATATATATATATATATATAATGCTAATTTAAAACATTTGTGACGTGTAAATATGAAAAATAAGCTGATAGTTAATAAATGTGATCAATATTTATAGATATTTTGTGATTTTGATAATGTCTGTGATCAGAGATTAGATTTTTATTATTTATTTAGAATAAACTGTATAAATGAACAATTTAAAAATATTTGATAGAAATTTATAAATTAAAAGTTAGGAGGGACATTTATTCTAGTGTAATACAGTAAATGTCTACTGTCACTTGATAAATTTCATGATATTATTTTTCTGTAATTTTAAAAAAGTTTTATTAATAACTAATAAAACAATGAATTATTTATTTTATAATACAAATGTTTATTATTAGTATTTATTATTTGTCTTGATACATTAAATTCCTATTATTAATTATTTTCTCCTATTTCATTACATTTTTGATTTTATTCCCAGATGTGTTTATTAACTACAATAAATTGTATTTTTTTTATTTCTGTCCACTTTATTTTATTTAATATATACATATTTATTTAGTATTTATTTTCAGATTTTTTTCTTAATGTAATAAATGTCCAACATTATTTTATGTACAGCTACCCTTTTTCCTATTTCTTTTTAAATATTTATCATTTATTTTAAAAAATAAATAGGTAATTTTATTCTTATTTACTTGTCATTATAATAAATGTCCCAAATTATTTATTTACTCTCATTTTTGTTCCATCAGTTTACATACATGTTTTGACACCTAATTGCAACCTCCTATAGTAATGACTTGGTAAAACCTTAAAAAAAACACAGAGCGAGTGAGTTTCTTAGCACCATGAGGAATCAGCGGGGGTTTCTGCACAGTGACCAGCCCACATTGATCAGTCTGAGCCTCACAGCAGGACAGAGGCATGTCTTTGTCCCGCAGGTCAGTCTTTAGGGCAAGAGGAAGGTGTTCGCAAGCAGCCTCAGCCGCAGTTTGTCAAAACACCTTTGTCCTAAACTTCTGTTTCATGCACTAACCAAAACACAACTTCCATTTCCTTCTCCACGAAAGCCGAGGGGCCATAAAACATTAAAGCGTTTCCTCTCAGACATTTGAAAAATTGAAAACGCGCTGCTAATTCCACTCCTTCCATCTTCAGGGAATAAAGAACATCTGGGATTGTGAACGAAGCTTTTTTTTGTTTGTTTCGGGAGTTTTGTTTGAGTCACTTTTCCTGTGTTCTAGTGCTGAGTTTGAAGGTAGGATGCAAAAAAACAATTGATTCTGGTGGCTTTTGTTCTTTATCTGTGTTTCAGGGCCTGTTTGTGTTTAGTTAACAGCTCTTTTGTTGTTTTTTTCAGTAGGGGGAGGCTGAGTGGTAAAGCTATGCTGCTTCAGGACGACTGAACTGCTCTGTTAGACCACATTCACTGGAGAAACTGCTGTGGATTCAGTTGTAGGTATGTTGAGAATGGCTTTTGTGGTTCAAACACTGCGAAATAGGAAGGAATTTACAAGCAGAGCTGAATTCTTGGTGGTTTTGCAAAGCAAAGTTTCTCTGATAGCCTTTACGGGACTTCTTTATTCAACTCAACAAGTTAGCAAAAGTGTTTGGATGAATTATTGTTGCTTGAATGTCAAAACATTTACAAGAGCATGCGAGAGAGCGTGTTTGCACTGTGAGGTAAGATTGTAGATTGTTAACCCTCGCAGTGGAATCAAATCTGAACTCAAAGTTTGCACATTTTAAGATCTTTGAGAGTTTTGACAACTATTTGTCTATGCAATAGAAGTTTAAGTTTAAGCATTTAAGTTCTACAATACTTAGTAAGTAAATTGCTCAACATAAAAGTAAGAAGAATAAAACAAATAAAAAACAAACTGATACAAAAGCAAGAAAATACACACAGCTGATAAAAGGCTTGGGAGTAAAAATAGGTCTTCAACATTGTTTTAAAAGATGAAGTTGAAGTTGCAAGAAGAAGTTCTGTAAAATTCTAAGGCAACACTATTTTGATGGTCTATATAAATATTAGTAGACTATCTGCTTAATTTGCTCCTTCAAAAGACATTTAACTGACTAGAAGAAACTTTGCAAGTACATGTCAATTTACACTAACCCTAAGTCTACTTATCTAATGAGAATTATTTGGAATATTGATGCAATGGAACTTAAATTCAACAAACGCACCATCAAAATAAAGTGTGACCAATTCGAAAATAAAATGTAATGTATTTAAAATAAGTTGTAAAAAATTATTTTATCTTTTTTTTTCTATCTTACATTCTATATCTTACAAACTTACTTTCTACTAAAAATGGTGTTATGCCTGTTCTAACACTTATTAAAACCCCGGTCAGATCACATAAATTTCTCATGATTTCAGCGCAATTTCCTTGATGCAGGGTGTCGTGGGGACTCGTAAACAACAAATGACAAAAGATTCAATCGTTGAATCGTCAAACACTAAAGTGTTATGTGGCATAGTTCACAACAAACAATAACATGCCTGCAACGCCTCATGACACTATCGCAGAAAGTCTAGCATGTTTAATTTTTTTTCTCGTTCTTCACGTCGAGTTCCGTCACATGGGTGACATTGTGCAATATAGGAGCACATAATTTCTCTGTTATATCAGTGGATGCTGCCATCAATGCACTGGTAAGGTAATCAAAAAATATGCTGCATATTTACTTGTGGGTTGGTTACTGGTGGATAAGATCAGCCATTGGTTATGCAAACTTTAGCTACCTTTTTAAAAGTATTACGGTGTTTTAAGCCATTTTATCTGACAGACTGGCACAAATATGCAGACATCTTCATTCTCACAACGAGTTTCTGAATTCTCTCATCCTTTCAACAGAGTTTGTTAATCCCAGGTAATCTGGGAACATGTTCAGTGCTGCAAATACATTGCAAAAGCATTTTCTGCTTATTCAAATTTGTCACAAATATTGAAAACAGTATAATTTAGGCTTCTCTGTAACTGTCAATGTTTCACCTAAATTTTATTTAGGTTAGATTATTATTTTATTTACCAAACCAATACAATCTCACAGCAATTTATGTTTTGCCGTATATATAGTGGACTTGTTTGGAAGCACTTCACCTCAAATGTTGTTCGTTATTCTTGTTTATAGATAACTGACTAACAATAGATAAATTAAAATTAAGATACAAATTACACCAAATGAAATACATTTCTAAAATATGTTTTTTCAAAAAAAATATAGCTACAAATTATATTTTTTTTCACTTGCTGGCGTTTTCAGATTTTGGTCCAACACTCAAAAACTGCTATTTATTAAAGTCAGTTAAAACAACACAATGCTTATTTTTACAACGTTATTGATTTATGTTCATTCATTCATTTTCCTTCGGCTTAGTCCCTTATTTAACAGGGGTCAACACAGCAGAATGAACCGCCAACTATTCTAGCATAAATTTTACGCGACAGACGTCCATCTAGCCACAACCCAGTACTGGGAAACAACCATACACTCTCGCATTCACACACACAATTGTACACTACTGCCAATTTTGTTCATCCAATATCACCTATACCACATGTCCATGAACTGTGGGGAAAGCTGCAGCACGAGGAGGAAACCTACTTTATGTTCAATTCTTAAATTTGTAAAAACTATTAAGTGTTGATTAGTGTTGAGACAACATGAAGGAATTGTGTGAAATCAAAAGCTCAGCAGAATGAGAATGTGTGTGTCTCTCACAAAATTGGGCAATAAGCAATAAAATGACTACTTTGCTGTTTAACAAAAAGTGCAATAATTCTACATTTTTTCCTAATTCAGTATACTGAATCAAGACTACTCATCTGAAGAAGACGATCAAGGCCAAAAAGATGGGGGTTTTCTTCCTCGCTCTAACAGTGCTCACCTCGAGTCACCTGTGGTCACATGTCCAAGCTTCGAGTCTAGTGCAGTTAAATCGAGTTATTCGAGTAGCCAGAGGACAATCTGTGTTCATCACAGCCAACGAACTTCAGTTCCACATGGATCACAAATCCGAGGCCTGTAAAGTAGAAGTGGTGCTTAATGAACCCATCACACAAAGAGTGGGAAAACTCACTCCACAGGTAAAAAAAACAACCCAGGATTGGTACTTTACCACCTTTTGTGAAATTCATTCATTCATTCATTTTCTTTTCGGTTTAGTCCCTTTATTAATATGGGGCCGCCACAGCGGAATGAATTGCCAACTTATCCAACATATGTTTTACACTACAGATGCCCTTGCTGCTGCAACCCATCTCTGAGAAAACCTTTTGTGAAGTAAATTTTTTTTAAATGAACTGTTTTTCAGGTTTTCGACTGCCAGTTCTTTCCAGATGAGGTGAAGTATGTCCACAATGGCAGTCCACTTCTTGAGGAAGACACCGTCATGTTGAGAGTCTACAGGTACAGTCTTTCACGGTCATTGTCATTCATGCAAACACACATTCAAGAGTTCACACTTAGCTCATGATGGATAAAGCTTGTTTGGCATGCTGTCCCAGGAGAGAGCCCTGAACTTATAAGATCCTCAAGCCCTGGGCTCCCTCCCGTTTGCAGGGCATGAGGGAAGCTCAGGTAGAACTCCCCTTACTTATTTCTGGCTAATGACAGATATAGGATGGCTAAGGAGAGATGTATGCTTGCTAAGAGTTCGGCTATGGTATCAGTTTGGTATGATCAATTAATTTGGGTTGCGTGTTTTTGGACTGTGGGAGGAAACCGGAGAACTCGAGGAAAACCCACTTGAGCACAGGGAGAACCAGCAAACTCCACACAGAAATGTCAACTGGCTTAATAAGGACTTTACCCAGAGACATTTTTGTTGTGAGGCAACAGTGATAATCACTGGGCCACTAGTTACCACTCTGGGTATTTAAAGTGATTTAGGATTCATCTGATCAATTGTGAGCTGATGCGGGACCAGCTGTGATCAATGATAAGCATGTGATTCTCTCGTGATCTTCTCTTCACTTAATATATATATGTAATTGTGGTAAAATCATACCTCTCAACATTGGGATGTAAAAAAAAAAAAACAAACAACAACAACAAAAAACTCAAAGCTACCCTGAAGAACTGCGAAAATGACCCCAAACTATATATGCCTCGCTGAAACCGCTACAAATATTGGGAGGAAATTAGCTTCAGATACCAGAATACAAACATTAGAAAATATCAAAAATAAAATAAAAGGTTTAGCCTATTAAAATCAATGACCTATACAAGAAATTAAATCAAGTTATAAAATCTTGTTCTCTTTTTATTCACTGTATTTAAAAATTGATTAATGTTACTATATTTATTTAGTGAAGATAAGGAAATCTCTAATTTTGATACACTGTTTTGTTTGGTAACAATGCACAGATCTATAATGAAAGCATTCGATTACTTAACCGTAACCGTTTATGCTCATTTAAGACAAAATTATTTGTGTTTAAAATAAAACTCATGAGCACGGACATGTTTGCATTTTATTAAGTGTATTTAAAAACACCCAAATCCCAAAGTGTCTGATTTCGTTCCTCTTTAAATTGCATGTACAGAAGCCGATCTGGCAACAGTGTTGTTATACAGAGCACGGTCGTCAGTCGTTGCATAGGAAGCGCGACGGTCAACGCACAGGTTTAATGGAAAGAAAGTGAATGCAGACAGTTTTATATATTTATTTCAACATGCTTTCAAGCCAACATAAAACAAAAGCATAATTCCTTTGAACAGCTTTTGAATTATATCATATTTGTGATCGGCTCTTTGATGCTACTTTCAATTTTTATTAGAAAGATTAAAAAATATGGGAGAAATACAGAAAAATACTGAAACGGAATGATAATGGGATAGAATGGTAAAATGCGAGAGATTCTCTGCAAAAACGAGAGGGTTGATATGTAAACTGTTTTCTTTTTAATAATTTAACAAATTCCTGATTTTTTGTTTATCAAAAAAGATAAATTCAGCTATAACACTGAAAACAACTAATAATTTCTAAGGGAACATTGTCAAGAATAATTTTTATTTTTAGTTTAATTTAGTATTTAAATCTAACAATTTATGAGTTTTTAATTTTATTATGGTTCATTTTCTATTTTGGTTTATATATAAATTTGAAATATTAAAAATTATTAGCCCTCCTATGAAATTGTAATTATTGTTGATATTATTATTAGTATTGTAATGTGAATGGGACGCTGACAACGGAGGTGTGGATTCCTAAAACAGGTTTATTACCAGGATGGTCAGGCAAGCAATGGTCAATACAAGGGCAAACAGATGTATACAGGCAAATCCAGTGACGTGGTCATGAACAGGCGGATGGTCAAAGGCAGGCAGCAGACAGGAATAAACAAACAAAACAAAGCAAAGCAATGGTCAAAAACAGAGGGCAATGCATGGAAACCGCATTGTAATGTTCACAATGACAGTATAACAAGACTCAGCAATAAGAGTGGCAAAGTGAGCCGTATATATGTGAGTGTAATCAGTACATGAGCAGCTTTAGCTGTGTGAGTCTAATCAAAGGAGGCTTGGAACAGGTGTGTGTGTGTGGTGCATGACAGGACTTGTAGTTTCTTTGGAGACAGAATTGAAGTTCGTAGCAATATGCGTGTTTACCAGGGATCTGCCTGGATTAGATCGCTATTATTGTTATACATGTTACATGTTTTCATTCATTCATTCCTTTTCCTTCGACTTAGTCCCTTTATTCATCAGGGGTCGCCACGGTGGAATGATATGCCAACTTATCCAGCATGTTTTACCCAGCGGATGCCCTTCCACCTGCAACCCAGTTCTGGGAGAATTATTATTTTTATAATTAATAATATATATTAGTTAGTCTTTAGTTTACTCTTTCCTAACTAGCATTTAGTTTAAGCTGCCATCCATTGCCAGCATTTTACACCTCAAATTTAGCCCTCAGATTTACTAACATTGTGTGGTCGTCTTCTTTGTCCAAACCAACAATTTATTTCTGTAACTGCAATTAGCTGCTAAAGCCATTTCCGAGGTCTAATGTGATTTCCATAACATAGGTGGTTCTTTTCAATGCAGGTTTACAGACACCGAGACTTTTGTTGAGTCTATGTTGCTGAAGGTACGTGTGTTTGAGCCTCAGAGAAGCCTTGTAGAGCTTGGAAATGTCCCTCTGGTGGTTCCTGAGTTCTATGGCCTTTCCAATGCCATCAACGCCAGCGTTCTCACCTTTAAAACCCAGCCAGATGTGATCTGCACGCTTCGTCTTCTCAGCTCTGAGATCAGTGTTCCAGCACTGGGTCAGCTGGTGGTTGAGGAGTCTGGAACAATGGTGGACACTGAGGCTGGACCAAGAAAAGGTATTACAGAGTGCATAATGAAGCTTTTTTTGTCAGATCAATGTCTATGGGGTGCAACTGACAAAGTTTTACAGTTCGGCAAAAGAGCAGCGTTTTTTCGTCAATATTTTTTAACAGTTTTTTTGTCAACGTTATTTTTTTGTCAACATTTTTCTGTAACGTTTTTTTTTTCAGTGTTTTTTTGTCAGTTTTTTTTTGGTCCGATTTTTTTTTTTTTTTTTTTTTTTTTGTCAATGTTTTTCTGTCAGCTTTTTTTTTTTTCTTCAACTTTTTTGTCAATGATTTTCTGTCAATGACTTTTTTGGTTAACGTTTTTTTGTCAACGTTTTTTTGTCCAATATTTTTGTCAATGTTTCTTAAAAGTGTCTGATAATTTGACCTTGATGTTGATTTTTTTCTAATATTTCCCAAAAAGATGTTTAACAGAGCAAGGAAATTTTCACAGTATTTCCTATCATTTTTTTCTTTTGGAAAAAAGTAAAAAAATGTTTTATTTCTGCTAGAACAAAAGCAGTTTTTCATTTAAAAAAAAACATTTTAAGGTTAATATTATTAGTCCCCTTAAGATTTTTTTTTTGCCTAATCACCCTAACTTGCCAAGTTACCCATATAACCTAGTTAAGCCTTTAAATTACACTTTAAGCTAAATACTAGTATCTTGAAAAATATCTAGTCAAATAATATGTACTGTCATCATGGCAAAGATGAATCAAAAATAAATCGTTATTAGAAATGAATTATTAAAACTATTATGTTTAGAAATGTGTTGAAAAAAATCTTCTTTCATTTAAGAAGTTGGGGGGGAATAAACAGGGGGGCTAATAATTCTGATTTCAACTGTACATAGAAAAGTTATACAATGTATGTATTGTATTATTACTCTCCCAAAATACACATTTTTATGAAAATATATTTTAAAACTTTTAAAAGATAATATTTAAAGAATTAATTTAAAAAGATAACAAACTTTAATGGTTACACTACATGATGCATATACAGTAAATTCAATGTTTTTTTCTTTTTAAAGTAGAAACTAACTTAAACACACATTTAAGCACAGCTTCTCATCTGCATTCACACTTGTTTAGGACGTCACACTGCAATCGCCTGCCCTGGAAATAAAGCCTGTGACCTCAAGACAAGGCAAGTGGAGTTCCTGAAGACCGACTGCAGTGAATTCCTCTCTTCAGGTCTGAAGTACCAGCATCTCAGTCCTCCTTCACCTGAGATTGACTACATCCCAGTCCGGCTGGAGTTTCGAGACCAGACCTCCCGAGCCCTGCTAGAGGTACAACAGCCTCAAAATTATTTATGGGCCAATATAAGTATCCGTTATGATAACCTCGGATTAAAGTATCATGGTATTAAGGTATAGTGACTACTGCTCTAAAATATGTTTCTTTTAAATGTCTGGGTAAAAAAACAACAACGTTTTCCCTCATTGAACACAATTTATTTTATTTTAAGAAACGTTTAAAATATTTTAGAACAGTAAACATATCAGGCTGAATAGTTAAAATAAATCACTGACTTCTGCTGTCTGCATTAGTTATAAAAACACAGATTTCTTCACAACTTGAAGAGGCATCTTTGGACATCTTTCTTTCCTGTGGATTTAAAGTAAGCCTCTGCACTATTCGGGTCTATAACATGCTTGGAAGTTAATCCTAAGTGATTTGTTTTCTAAATGTTTCCTGAATCATGGGTTGACCAGTAACTTTTGATGTGGAGGGTCCTTTTTCGCTGGAGATACGGTTGCCCTAAAAACCAAAATAAAATAATTGTAAAAAAGCACATAAAAATGTACATATATCCTAGGAACGGAACAACAGAAAATTTTAGCGGTTCTAAAACCGTGACTTTTCCAAACCAAAGGTAAACCTTGACACTGGTTGTCATCCCATGCCTGCTCAGAATCATGTTCAAAGCACAACACTGAATGATCACCTTCTCTCCTAGACCGAGAGTGTCTGGTTACCGGTATTGATCCAGGGGGCGATGCAGAACCAGCCGCCTCACGCTGCCTTCATGTCCACCTTCATCCTGGAGGTAGATCAGTTCATCCTGACGCCTCTGAGCACCGCTGCGCTGGATGCCAAAGACGACGAGACACCGCAGGACCAGCTCATTTTCAGTGTCACCAAACCTCCAGCCGAAGGATATATAACTCATTTAGATGATCACACTAAAATGGCCTCCTCCTTCTCATGGCAAGACCTGAATGAGATGAAAATCGCATACCAGCCCCCAAACAGCAGTCATACAGCCAGGAGGAACTATGAGGTTGGTGAAGAATAGTACTCTGTTAGTGGAAATAAAAAATATGTTTGATCAAAAACCATGTCTGTCAGCCTAGCTTAGTGTTTATATATATATATATATATATATTAGGTGTGTAAACCACTGGTCTCACGATTCGGTTTGGTTTCGATTAGCATGCCTTCGGTTCGGATATCTTGGTGTATCACGGTGCATTGACGATGTTTTCCATACACAATTAGATTTTTTTCTTCACAACACAAGAAAAAAAACTGTATTAAAAACTATAAATATATTTATATATTCTTTGTAATACAATTTTGTCCTTTAATACATGCAATAAGATATATGGACTGTACCTGTATCTTAAATTTACCTGTTGAAAAAAAATATTCTGCATTGTCAAGTGAGTTCTTACACCCTTATGATTGGTCATTGTCTTCACCCGCTCAACAGAAAGGACTGTGATTGGCTCTAAAACTGGCAGCACTGTTCACTGATGAGTGAAGTGGAAAGAACAGCCACAGTTACAGTCTATATGCTGTCGGAATATCAAGTCAATTTCATGCGTGTTCAATAAAAAAAGTTAGGAGAGGGTTTTCTTCAAAAATATAACTTATTTATTAGATACAAATGAATAATTCGAGGACAGAGCTCTGGGTTACGTTACCTCAATGCAATACAAGAATTATATTCAGGTTCGCAATTCACTCAAATTTTTCCTGACTGCAGCATATATACCAACTGATATTAACAGGTGGAGTTTTGGTGTAACGTCACTTATTAATCATTCTGCGGTCCTTTGGCTCTCGTATCGCGGTTACCATGCTATAGAGAAAACTCGCACTACAGACATGGTTACCTCACAAACATGCTAGTGGGTCAAATGTCTAAAGTGAGAGAGAGAGAGAGAGAGGCAGAGTTGGTGAAATAGTGGTTCGTGTGCTGTACCTTCTTCAGTGTCAGTAAAAGATTGTCATGCAAACTCACAAGCAGTTAATTGTGCACAATATTCTGGACAACTTAATTGTTTTATGCTCAATCTACTCAAATTTGTAAAAACTAATAACATAGCTTAATTCCTTCATGTTGTCCCAACACAAATAGCTTGTGCTGAACCCAGCATTTTTAGAGAGTGTCAAAACAATTTTAACACTTAAATGAACTAGTTGTAACATAAATTCATGAACCATACATTAATTTATATCAACAAAGACACATTGTATAGGCTATAAAAAGCTCTTTATGGTTCTAGTTGCACATTTTACAGTGTTTAGAAAAAAAATCCTAAAACTCAGTCAAATGTAACTCTAGTGATCTTTCATTTTTCATCCAGGTTGAATTTCAGGCCATTGATGGCTCATTTGCCCCGAGTCTTCCTATCCTGATGCACATCTCCATACGCACTGCAGAGACAAACGCACCTCGAGTCTCCTGGAATATGGGTACATTCACAGCCCACCAGCACATGCGAACCCTCTTCTAAATCAGACTGAAGCTAAACACCTTTATCCTTACAGGCTTGGATCTGCTGGAAGGCCAATCCAGACCAATCACATGGGAGCATCTACAGATTGTAGATAAGGACAATATTGACGCCGTCACCTTGATCGCAATGGACGGTCCACTTAATGGACACTTAAGTGTTAGAGGTAAGCCAATTCCATCCCATGACCTTTTAAGTGCAAACCCGCTCGTTCATTTCTTCTCCATCCATCCTGTGAGCATCGTTGAAGAAACATATGTCTTGCATGGCTTTGCTAATCAGGTGTAAAATGCTTCAGCGACACTTTGCCATAGGCCGTCCACCAAAGATGTCTTTCCACTCCAGCAGACTTTTGTTTGCATTGAGCCTGAACGAAGCAGATTGTGAAGACTTATGACAGATGTTCAACACAAGGTCATTTCTCTCCCATTGAACCGTCTTAGCAAGCTTTAAAAACTGGTGACAATCATGTGTCTGGCTGAACGGTTTTATTCAAAGGAATGTTCGAGATTTTCAACCAAAAGAAACATTAAAGTTAAGGAGGGTCAAAACAACATTTAGAGTTGGTTGACCAATAATGAACATCTCTGAGATAAACAAATAGCATAGAGGCCAGTTTAACTGCACTTTATTTGTTGTCCAGGTTTAGGTTCAGGCCATCGATGGCTTATTTGTCCCCAATTCATCACAGAAATATCTCTTACATTGGACTGTCCTAGCATACGTGTTGCAATCTTAACTGAAAAATTTGTATTCTAGAAAGGGAATGCTCTAGAATTTGCACCCCAAAAGCTGTTGTAGTCACTGGGATTGAGTTTAGATTAGAAAACTGTACTGTTCTATCTTAATTTTTGGTTGAACTTTTCCTCTAAATCCTTGGTTTTATAATTAGGAGCAGACGAAGTTTAGGGATTGAATGTGATGTTTTGCTCCACGCGTTCTCCCATGGAATCTGCCGTGTGTTTCCTGTTTTGAAGGATTTCCTGGCCAAAAAAAAAGTATAAAAATCCAAATCACAACATAATTTCTGTTTCATTGGATCATCTTAGCAAACTTGCGGCGATCTTGGCTGAAATGTTGTATTCAAGGGAATTCTCCAAAAGAAATCATTTTCCCCAAAAGGGCAGTGGAAGTAAATGGGATCCAAAATGATTTTCAAATTATATAGTCAAAAGATCTAAGACTAAATCACTAAGACAAACTGGTCAGCCTGTGAATGATGGTACTGTAGAATTTTTATTTTTTGGTAAACATTTTGTTTAAATTCTTGCATTTACAGTTAGGGGCAGAACAATCTTATGGATTGAATGTGACGTTTTGCTTCATGTGTTCTCCTGTATAAGCTGCTGTGTTTTTATTTTGTGTGTTTCTTGATTTGGAGGATTTCCAGGCCAAAAAGTATAAAGATCCAAAATGTAATTTCACTTCCGTTGGCTCATCTTGGCAAACTTGTGACAATCTTGACTGAAAATTTCAATTTAATGGAATTCTCCAGGGTTTCAATAGAAATGATATTTAAATTATATGGCCAAAAAAAATCAGCTAGACAATATTATGAACTGTAGAATTTTAATTTTTGGGTGAACTTTTGCTAAAAATCTTTGGTTTTATAATTAGGAGCAGACCAATGTTAGGTGATTGAATGTGATTGTAAAACCAAGGATTTAGAAGGAAAGCTCATCTAAAAATTGAGATTTTACAGTACCATCATTTACTGGCTGACCAGTTCATCTTTGATTTTTTGTGGCCAAATTCATACCAATGTAATTTCTCTTCCACTGGAACGTCTTCGCAAACTTGTGGCAATCTTGAGTGAAACACTGTATTCAAGGAAGTTTTCCAGAAGTTTCAAAAGAGATGATGTTTAAAATATAACGCCAAAAAAAATCAAAGTTGAACCTGTCAGCCAGTAAATGATGGTACTGTAGAATCTTAATTTTTGGGTAAAATCCTTGGTTTTATAAGTAGGAGCAGAACAATCTTATGGACTGAATGTGACCTTTTGCTCAATGTGTTCTCCTGTGGAAGCTCCTGTGTTTTTATTTTGTGTGTTTCTTGTTTTGGAGGATTTCCAGGCCAAAAAGTATAAAGATTCAAATTGTAATTTCCCCTCCGTTGGCTCATCTTAGCTGACTTGTGGCAATCTTGACTGAAAATTTGAATTCAAGGAAATTCTCCAGAGTTTCAATAGAGATGATGTTCAAATGATACGGCCCAAAAATCAAAGACAAACTTGTTAGCTAGTATATTACGTACTGTAGAGTCTTAATTTTGGGGTGAACTTTTCTTTTTAATCCGTGGTTTTATAATTAGGAGCAGACCAGTTTTAGGGATTGAATGTGACGTTTTGCTTCATGTGTTCTCCCTTGGAAGCTGCGGTGAGTTGTTTTTGTGTTTCCTGGTTTGGAGGATTTCCAGGCCCATTGTGTCAGTCCCTGACAGAAGACCACCTGATCAGCAGAAGCCTCCAGCCTACTCAAACAGCAGCTCCCGCTTCAAGCCAAACCCTTCATTTAATTGGTGTTTACGTGTTGACGTGTCACTTTGTGATCCCTCTGGCTGAGAATAGAGTCGTCCCACAACTTTAGCTTCCAAAAGCACGTCATTTTACTACACGACGATTGAGCAGAAAAGCGAGTTCTGGTCCAAAATGGGCCGGCCTCTCTTGGGAACCCGGACGAGGATTGGGAATTGCTCGCGTTGACCTGAAACTCAGGGACTCCGACCCTTGGGAAAGTCCTCAGTCAGCCTTCGGCCAAATGGAAAGCTGCCGCCCAGTGTCCTCTTGCGTCGAGTATCTATATGGAGGCTGTTTTTTTGGGCCTGCTGCCCACAGCCACCTTTGGGCCCAATTACTTCCTTGTTTCTCCATTGGACTTGTGGCCGATTCCCCCTGATAAAGTTGCTAATTAGGTTTGCTGTGCAACCAGTCATCATTCAATCTGTCTGGTGACCTTGCCCTTCTGTCTCCCTGGCAAGCAGGAGAAGCTCGGCTTCACGGTGGGCAGCAGCCATCGCCTGGGAAGGACGCCATCTTTCTTTTTATTTTTTCGCAATGGGGAAAAGCCGGAGCCAACGTTTCTGCCTCCAGGCGCAAACAAAACTTAGTTTTCACAATTACATTCAGCCTGTGAGTGATATTACAAATGGCTTTGAAAGTATTATCTGATTATGTTGTCTACACTGTAAACCCTAATGCTGTAACTAATTAATTGAATTGAGTTCTATTAACTTAAATCATTATCAAACGTAAATCATACGTTTATCTTAATTAACCTTGATGAGTATTTAGAACTTTTTCTTATTTTTGAGTTTGAAAAAATTTAATCTTTCAAGTAAGGTGAACAATTCTGCTGGGTTTAATTTATACAAAATGTCTCTTTAAAGTTTCATTAACTCAAAATCTGTCAGCCCAGTGATTTTGCGTCTGACGTCATCCAGGTTCACGTACGTGCTCATGCTTCATTCGTTTTTTTCAAGATGGCGGATCGGCCTCGCTTCACACTACAGTAAGTAAAATATTTACAAATCCAAGAAATATTAAATGTATGTTTTAATTAATATAATCACAGTAACAGTTCAATGTAATGTAGAGTTAATCAGGGTGCGTTTACATGTCGTACATTACAGAAAACATGTTTAGCCTCACTTGTTGCTAACTAACGTTAACATTGCTGTTTAAAAAGTTAGAATCAGTGCAACGTTAGCGTTAGTTGTTACGTGTTAACTCTGAATTTTAACAGAGTGTGATAAAGACAAAAATATTTAAAATCGGCAGATTACATTTTTCAAAAAAATTTAAATCTTGGCGCGAGTATGCCATTTCTCAGCCTGTGCTGAAGTTGTCATGGAGACGCGCGCTCTCACAACCGCATATCATGGCGCTGCGCTGAACTCCATCCAGTCTGTGAATGTGGTATTATCTTTGCAATCTGTAGGCACTTCGGAAACGAAAAGCGCAAGAAACATAACGTTAATCATAACTCAAATGATCTCCGCCTAAACACTTAACGGTATTTTCTGATGACGCGCAAAAACGTAGTCTCATAACTTAACTCTGTCACACGCAGCTTGTTGCTTGCTGATCCATGTATGAGGATAGCCTGACGGAGAACATTTAAGCTGCGCTCCTCACCTGAGCAGGTACAGAGCAGAGCTTCAATTTACACTACCACATTGAGATAAAGTTGGTTTTATATTCATACATTCATTTAGTAACAACTTGTGACTCGCTCCATAAATTGTTTACCATGGTACTTTGTCTATTCGTTCTGAAATCACATGCAAGTATGACATGAAAACAACATTACACTAAATGCACTATTTTTTTTGACTGAACAATGTTGTACTTTGAAAGTCATTGGCTGCTAATATGATTTCACCATTAAGAATATGCAAAAATTACCTTTCTGAAATTATATTATTAAGGAGAAAGTCTGAATGTGTAAATATAAAACTAACTTTACCTCAATCACCAGCACTGATCAACACTTAATATTTCCTCGCGCTTAAGACGACATCTCTGCATATCAATGATTACCTGATTAATGCGATCAGTTAAATGAGTTTAAATGTCATTTAGGTCAAATGTATTTTAAAGGTATGATAAAAGTTTTTTTTTTTTTCAATCTATTTTTTAAAATGTTTACTCTGGAGAGAATATAAACAGCCTAAAAAACAAAGTATGCATATCTATAACACATTAATACAAAATTATGTTATTAAATAAAATAATAACAAAACAAAATATTCAAGACGTGGTAAACAAGACATAGTTTTCTGATGTGCAAATTTTGTAGCTTAAAATATATTTATATCTTAAAATATAAGTATTTTAGTCTATATATTTTCACTATCATTAGACAATAAGGTAAGTTTTGTTATTTCTAGCTTTTAAAATCAGGCCTTAAATTTCTTTGTCGTCCTATTCAGTTTTAGAAATTTCAATACTGTTTAAATTAAATCTGTGTTCATCAAATCAAAGCAACTAACATGATAATCAGCTCTATTGCTAACCGTTTTGGAGGTTAACGTTAGACATCATGCAATTGTACTACTTCCACTCTCAGCTAAATGACACTGTGACTTTGTGTACTTACAGAATTGAAGGTCGGGTGTTGCTGACTACAGATAGGAACTACAAGGAAAGTGAAACTTCAGCTAGACCTTGAGTTCAGTTTACAACATGAAGATCCTGCTTTCAACATCTGATCAACACCTGATTTTTTATCTGAGGTAAAAAATAGATAAGTAAATGAAACATAATAATAATATTAATAAATTTTTTTCTAGAATTGTATATTTTGTGGTGTGGGTTTGTTTTATGAAATTCTCTCTTGTTTCTTTTTGCTGTTTGCAGAGTACCAACATGTTACAAATGAGAATTTTCCCCACAAATTCTTTGCACAACTGGACCACCACCTATTTCATTTGATGACGATTTCAAGGCAAACAGCATCCAAAACTGGCAAGACAGCAGATACCCTGGCTAATCTTTTAAAGGCTTATGATGAGCAGGTATGTTTGGGGTCACGTGTTAAAGTATACATTAAAATATAATTTGAATTTTTTTTTTTTTTAATTGATTTAAAATCATTTATTCATCATTTATTATACTTGATTTCCAGGAACTGCATGATGTCAGTTCATGACGGACTACTCTTATCAGAGGTCTTTTGGTCTTGTTGCGTGAGCGTGACTTAAGATTCTTTAGGAACACCCTGGTAAGACTTCATTCATTCTTTTCACAATTAGGCATGTTTAATAAAAAGATGAAAGTTTTGAAAACTTTTACTTAACATATTTGTAATCACGGATAGTTGATGAATCATATAATATTGGCTCAGTCATTTTGATACTGTCCTTACATTAATATCCTTGAATTATATTTTTAGATTGATAATCCTGCTGACTGAAGATGCTTTATTGGCCCTGCATTCACTGAGGGTCTCTGTTGTCCTGAAGAATGAATTGGACACCACCCACAGCACACTTCCAGACCTTTCTTGTCTTGTATGGATTAATGTATGTTCTTCACATAATATATAGTAAAGGACTTTGAAGTTGTGCAAAAAGTTTTGCTTGGCATGGATGATGGAAAATAAAAAGTCTCGTAGCATGGAAACCTTAAAGAATGAGTTGATTGTTTTTTTTTTTTTACTTAATAAAGACTGTCTCTGGGGTAGTAACTTCAAAACATTTATTTACCTTTAATTCGTAAGGGTGCATTTTATTATATATAGGGCTGGTTTGTCCAAATGTAAAATTCTGTCATTTACTAACTCTTCACTTGTCCCAAACCTGCTTGAATTTCTTGCTTCTGTTGAACACAAAAGTTAAGTAAAGCTGACAACCTGTAACCACTGACTTTCTAATTGGAAAACAAATACTGTGGAAATCGGTGGTTACAGGTCTCAGCTTTTTTTTTTTTTGGTCAAAAATAACCTTTTAAGTGTTCAACTGAAAAGAAAGAAACTTAAACAGGTTTGGAATAAGTAAATGACAGAATCATAGTTCAACCAAGACTGAATATATATATATATATATATATATATATATATATATATATATATATATATATATATATATATATATATGCTCTCCGTCAAACAGAAATTGGGGGAAAAAATAAATGGGGGCGAATAATTCTGACTTCAACTATATATATACATATATATATATATATATATATATGCTCTCCGTCAAACAGAAATTGGGGGAAAAAATAAATGGGGGCGAATAATTCTGACTTCAACTATATATATACATATATATATATATATATATATATATATATATATATATATATATATATATATATATATACAGTTTCTGTGTAGTTTACACTAAACGAGTCACTTCACAGAATGTGCACTTATTATTTTTTTAACGAATGCCTTATTTTATTTGTGAAACTGACGATGGAGAAGTTAATTTTAAAAAATGCTATCAAAATGTATGAGCTGGGTGATTTAAGTATTTAAAGTTGAAAGAAATTAAAGCAATTAAGTTAATTGGTATTAAAATGTATGAGCTGGGTTACTAAGTATTTAAAGTTTAGAAAAATTAAAACAATTAAGTTAATTGGTATTAAAATGTATGAGCTGGGTGACTAAGTATTTAAAGTTTGGAAAAATTAAAACAATTAAGTTAATTGCAATTAAAACGTATAAGCTGAGTAACTTGGGTATTTTAAGTTAGGTGAAGTGTCTTGCATGAGTACAACAAACTCAAAACTTAATGTTTCTGTTTACTTAAAATAGATAATTTCATAACTTAAAAAATTTGACGTAACTGATTACCTCAAATTTTTTGAGTTTTGTCAACTTATTCGGGATTACAGTGTACTTAACTTAAAGGGATCGTTCACCCCTAAGTTGTTTAAAGGGATAGTTCACCCAAAAATGAATATTTTATCCCCATTTACTCACTCTGAAGTGGTTTCAAATTTATTCTGTTTAACATGAAGGAAGATATTTTGAAGTCAGCGAAAAGCTGAAACTATTGACTTTCAAATGCTATGTAATTCAATTGTTATTTCCAACATTCTTCAAAATATCTTCTTTTGTGTTCAGCACAATAAAGAATGCATTTAGAACAACAAGTTTAGAACAAGTGAGGTTTGAGTAAATGATTTTTTCGTTTTGAATGAACCATTCCTTTAACTGCTTTAGGGATATTTAAACAACTCTCCACTGTAAATCCCAAAGCGTTACAGTAACTCAAATGGTTTGTTGTAATCAGTTTCCTCAAATGATCTAAGTTCAAAAACTAATCCTAATAAGTACTGTGAACTTAATCTATTTGAGTAAATGAAGCAATTTGAGCAAATGAATGAAAATAAATGAAGACAACTCAAACCAACTGAGTAAGTTAAGGCAACTCAAACCGTTTAAGGAAACAGATTGCTACAAACCATTTGAGTTAAAAAAAACTAATCTATATGAGTACTGTGAACTTACTCCATTTAAGTTGAAGTAATGAGGTTTTTATTTAACTCATTACCATCAACACTGCGTTCAAAACTCTTTTCAAATGAGTAGAAATGACTTTCAGTCAATTTTGAGTAAACTACACTCATTCATTCATTCATTCATTTTCTTGTCGGCTTAGTCCCTTTATTAATCTGGGGTCGACACAGCGGAATTAACTGCCAACTTATCTAAGTTTTTATGCAGCGGTTGCCCTTCCAGCCGCAACCCATCTCTGGGAAACATCCATACACACTCACACACAATCACACACTATGGACAATTTAGCCTACCCAATTCACCTGTACCGCATGTGTTTGGACTGTGGGGGAAACAAGAGCACCCGGAGGAAACCCACACGAACGCAGGAAGAACATGTAAACTCCTCACAGAAACGCCAACTGAGCCAAGGTCTGACCCAGTTACCTTCTTGCTGTGAGGCGACTGCACTACCTACTGCGCCACTGCCTCGCCCTAACTACACTCATTTCATTTAATTAAGTTGACTGTTGGGTTTTACAGAGTGGTTTAAACTGAAATTGATTTCATGTTTTTATTTTGGTAATTCAGTATACACATTTGGGGGGCCTAAAAACTGAAACTTTGAATGTAAAAAAATAAAATTCACAACACAAAAAAAATGCTATTTTGTGAAATTTTGACCTCAAGCATGTGTATTTCAAGGCATGACCGAGGATTTGAAAACCAAAAATAACGATGGTGGAACTCATGCATAATACTGATCTAATACTGATAACAAACTGTTCTGTTTTAGTACATTATTGTTGCGTAAATTACCCTGAATCCAAATGTTGAATGGTCATCATTTACTCACCATTGTCATGTTCAAAACCTAAAACATAGGGTGGCTCAATGGTCAGCACTGTCGCCTCACAGCAAGAAGGTCACTGATTGGAGTCCCGACTGGGTTAGTTGCCATTTCTGTTTGGAGTTTGCATGTTCTCCCTGTGTTGGCGTGGGTTTCCTCCGAGTGCTCCAGTTTCCCCCACAGCCCAAAGACATGCGTTATAGATGTATTGAATAAACTAAATCGCCCGTTTTGTATGTGTGTAAATGAGTGTGTATGGGTGTTTTCCAGAACTGGGTTGCAGTTAGAAGGGCATTCGTTGTGTAAAACATATGCTGGATAAGTTGGCGGTTCATTCCACTGTGGTGGTCCCTGATAAATAAAGAGACTAAGCTGAAGGAAAATGAATGAATGAATGAATGGAAACCTAAAACTATTAACTTCCATAGTTTGTTTTTCATACCATGTATGTCAATGGTTACAAGTTTCTGACATTCTTCAAAATATCTTAAACAGAATTTAAGAGTGAAGTCAAGAATCTCTTTGAATGTATAAAACATTCAAATAGACCTGTACTCTATTCCATAACCAGTCCTTTCTTATTCATCCAAAGGTGGAAAAGGCTTCATGTTTAAGGTCAAGGATCTCCGAGAGGGCGTTGTGGTCTATCATCACTCGGACAGCGACACCACCAGGGATTACGTCGTCTTCCGAATCACAGATGGCCGCCACAGCATCAGACATAAATTCCCCATCTACATCCTTCCCAAAGACGACACGCCGCCTTTTTTAATCAACAACGTGGCCTTCGAGGTGCAAGAAGGTGGCACGGTTAGGGTGGAGGAGTACATGCTGATGGCCTCAGATCTGGACTCCAGCGACGACTACATTCAGTATCAGCTGATTACTTTTCCCAGAGCTGGACAGCTGATTAAGAAGTCTTCTCCACATGAACCAGGTCAGTTTAATTATAGATGTTTATTCTAAATCTAACGATGCTTTGCGTAAATACTGAAATTTACCTAGGTACAATTAGATGACGTTATTCTCCTCACTGTTCATGCATGCATTTAATATTTTATTACTTACAGCAAAGCATAAATTACCCCAAAATCTTAACACAAGTATTTCTGCAGCATTACGACAGATTTTGAATATTATTGTGCTGCAGGAGGTAATAGGAGAAAACGATCTGAAACAACAAAACAAAGGAACTTTAAAAATACATGGATGTTTTTGATGCTAATGGCATTTTAAAATAATGTTAACACCTCAGTTTTCACTTAGGATATGGACAGTGTTGGGTGTTATTAGTTATAAAGTAACTAGTTACTGTAATTAGATTACTTTTTCCGCAAAAAAGTAAAGTAAGCGATTACTTTTCATTTTTATGTAATTTAATTACAGTTACTTAATATCTACTTGCCTTAAACACTGTAAATACATTTAAATCTGTAAATAAATTCAACATTGTAGCAAAATACAAATATCTTTTGCAGAATTATTAAAGCTAAAGAAGGTAACATTTATCAAAATGATTCAAAAATTAGGTTCTTAGCAGTGGTGTAGTCGAGGCTATATGCACGTATACTTTCTATGTCTACTTTTTTCCACAAGCTGTTTGGCTATGTTATAATATGTATAATAATATTTATAACACAAGCTGTCATAATATGTATTATTCATATTTATTATTATTTATGAAGTGTTACATGTTTAATAAAACTAAAAGGTCCTTCTTGGCGAAAATGTAAGCCATTAAAAGTTTAATTTCAATTGTTGTGCATTTAGATTTTAAATACTTTCAAGTAAAGTAGTTAAATTACTTATTGAGTAACTGAGTTACTCATCAGACATAGTAATTAAAGTCATTATAATAAGTAATTAATTACTCTATTGAAGACACTTGATATTGATTATTTATAGCACAACCTTATTATTTGAAATGGCTGGAGGTTTTCCAAACCAGACGTGCGACCGATAATTTGAAATACAGTAGTCACTTGTGGAAAAAAGTGGATATGGATTATATTTTGAATGTATCTGGTTAGCACTGTCGCCTCACAGCAAGAAAGTTGCTGGTTCGAGTCCTAGATTTCTGTGTGGAGTTTGCATGTTTTCCCTATGTTCGCCTGGGTTTCCTTAGGGTGCTCCAGTTTCCCCTGCAGTCCAAAGACATGCACTGTAGGTGAACTGAGTGAAATAAATTGGCCTTAGTGGATAAGTGTGTATGGCTGTTTCCCAGTACTGGGTTGCAGCTGGAAGGGCATAAGCTGCGTAAAACATAGTTGGCTGTTCAATCCGCTGTGGCGACCCCTGATAATCATAGACCAACCCGAAGAAAAATTAATGAATAAATGTATCTGAGTTGATTTGCATTAGATTGTGTCTTGTCAACCAGGTCTCCCAGTCAAGAGTTTCCTGCAGAGGGACCTTTTCCAAGGGCTAATCTACTACAAGCACTCGGGAGAGGAAGTGTTTGAGGACTCGTTTGATTTCATCCTCTCAGATGTCCATCAGCCTCCAAACCTGTCGGACAGACATGTAAATGACCAGCATCTGCTCTCACACCAAATTCCATTTCAGTGTGAACATTTGTAACAGAAATGTCTGCTGTGTATAGACTGTGGTGATCCACGTGTTTCCAGTGAAGGACCAGCTGCCTGTGGAAGTTTCTGGAACGGTTCGCTCCATCACGGTTAAGGAAACGGAAGTTGTTTACATCACTCAGAGCCTTCTGCACTTCAGAGATACAGAGCACCCGGATACTGACCTCATGTATGTGATCACCCACCCCTGCTTCAGTCCAGGAAACACCAGGTATGCATATCATAATATTTAATCGCACTAATAAAGTTAGGTTAAAGGTCTCATGAAATTAAAATAGATTTTTTCAGATGTTAGTATCTGTGTTTTTAGTTTGTAGGATATCTATAAGCTAGTACACACCAAAAAATTGCGTTTAGGAGATTTGAAACAGATATATAAATAACATAAACATGGATTAACGGTTTTATCCACGTCACCTCATACTTTAGTTTTTCATCAAATCATGACCAATGAAATGCTCTCTAGTATCTGACATGCCCCGCCCACTTCAAGACACTTGTCATTTGATGCGCTTGTGCTTAACCACTCTCACTGGCAGAGCAGTGATAAAAATGAAACGGTATTGTTTATTGTTTTTTATAAAGGGGAGAAGTTACATTATTTCCCACACTCTCTTTATGTTTGCACATTTCCAACAAAGTCCCTTTAAGGCATGTCATTTCACTCGGTGGCCATCTTTAAACCGGCTCTTGGGCTGTATGCTCAAGCAGTATGCTCTGGCATTCTGTTTGAATTAGGAAACATCAAATTCTCCAAAATTAATCACCAAGCTTACGATTAAATTTTCTTTTAGGGAATCACCAATAAAGTTAAACAACAAATGTCTCTTTAGTTTCATTTCTAAACGTTCGAATCGTACAAAGGCACCGTTTACACTAGTGCGTTTTAATTTTAAAACGGCGTTTTAGATCAAAAACGATCCGCATCCACACTAGCGTTTCACCTAGCGTCTCTGAACATATCTCCATCCACACTACGCCACCAAAAACGTATATCCTGTGACCATTCGCGAACTCTGGGCATGCGTGTTCTAGTATAAACAGAAAACATGCGTCTTGCTTGGCATTTGGTTATTGTTAGTCAACAAACGCCAGTTGAACATTAAACGCGATGGCAAAGAAAGCAAGAGAGTTATTTTTGTGAACAGACGACGAGGTCGAGTTGTTACTAAACGTAACAAATGAATAACAGCACAATGGCGCCTAAAACAGACAATAGTGCAAACAACGCTCTCAATTCCATGTTGTTGTTAACAGTACTGTCTTCTGGTAGCGTTAAAGCCATGTGTTAAAGTCATGTGATAAGGGCTTGATGAATAAGGGAAGGATACACAATGACACAAAAGCCCCAATCAGGTAGCGAATCTCAGCAGTCCCGCCTCTGTTTTCAGATGTTTCTGTTTTTCCTCATCCACACTGAGACGGCCTCTCCAGCGTTTTCAAAACGCTCCGTTTTCGGTGCTCGAGAACTTTGGCGTAGTGTGGACGGATGGCGTAATAGTAGCAAAACGTATGTGTTTTAAAACCAAAACGCATTAGTGTAAACGGGGCCAAAATCTGTTGGTCTGGTCCGAGCCCCTCCCCGCAGTCTATAGCGATCCATGTTTGGCTCTTCTACTATACTTCATATTCATGCAATATCGACTGTTACACTTTTTCCCATTCAAAACTATACGAGTGACTTGTCTTGTATATTCAAAGCACTTCATGGGACCGCCAATTTTTTTCTATGATTTAATATTAATACATTTAAGAGCTCCTTGTATTACTTCAGGTTATCAGATGCTGGCAGGCTGTTTTATACTGACAGCACAAATGCAATGAAAAAAGATGCTATGGTTCCAGTGCTGAAGTCCTTTACCCAGGTCTGAATCATATCCCTTTATTGTTGCACTTTATTAATGTACAATATCATTTTGCTGCCTCTTCTGTAAGTTCTCTTTTTTGTTGTCCGCAGCATGCAGTGAACCACCACAAAGTGGCATACATGCCTCCAATAGAGGATATTGGGCCTGAGCCTCTGTTTGTGCAGTTTGTGTTTTCTGTGAGTGACCATCAGGGCGGCGCTCTTACAGGACTCACCTTCAACATCACAGTCACGCCTGTTGACAACCAGGCCCCAGAAGTGAGCACACTCATCTTTTCGTTAGCGCTAGTTTGTGATTTTCATTGTTATTAGAGCACACGATTCTTAAAATGTAGTGTGTTGGGATGAATTATTAGAGGACTCAAATAGGTAGATCTGGGAAAGGCTCTTTTATTAGAGCATTGGTTTTCGAACATTAAAAATAACAATAAATTTTTTTTTGTAATGTGCTTTTTTCTTCTAAAATATTAAAGTGATATAACAATAGCAAAAATTTAGCTTACTCAGTTCACCTATAGAGCATGTCTTTGGACTGTGGGGGAAAGTGGAGCACCCAGAGAAAACCCACACCAACACAGGGAGAACATGCAAACCCCACACAGATATGCCAACTGACCCAGCCGGGTTTGAACTAGAGACCTTCTTGCTGTAAGGTGATCATTCTACCCACTTCGTCACCGTGCTGCCCAAAAACATATGCAGTATATTTAAAATATTTTGTTTGTTTGTTTGTTTGTTTGTTTGTTGATAGAGCATCACATTTTTGTGAGTATATTTGTGGTAGACACAAAAAAAATAATGCTGTTTTTACTGTTATTATTCAGTATTTTTATTTTAGAGTACAAATATTTAAGCATTTTTAAATTACATTGACTTAACACTATTAACTACTGAGGCAGTCAATTTTGACAAATTGTGTAGCTTTGTTCAAATAAACCCTTATAACAAAAGTAATTTGACATTTCCAAAATGTTTATTTATTTCATCCTAACGTTGTTTTAAAAAAAAAAAAAAAACAAACAAAAGGGCTAGGAGTGTTCCGACATTGAATGGCCATAATGGTCAAATTGAGCATGCGCTACTTTTTCCTGTGCTTTAAATATATGCGTGCAGATAATTAACAAAACTTTCTGACAGAAAAAACAACTTTTGTTTAGACATGTCTTTCAAACAAAGAAAGACAAAAAGAAGGTATGGTATGCACCTTCATGGGTAGTCTGGTAACTCTTAAAAAATTATACACTATAATATTGTAAATAAATAATCAATTCTGATTAAGATTGATAGTTATAATATCTTTAGGGTAATTACTTTATAAAATACGACCCTCAAAGCCTAATTCTAAACTGTAAACATAACATGACAAAAATCCATCCTTGCAGGCACAGGACATCAACATGACGTCAGATTGACGTTGTACCCTAATGTTGTTGGGATGTTGCATTTTGTTTGGAGATGAAATCGGGTTGACGTTAGAATCCAACGTCAGGCCGACGTCAATGTCCAACGTCCAACCTAAAAACAACAAAATATCAACTTCTAATGATGTTACAGGTTGACGTGTGGATGTTACCACTATGACGTCTATCAGACGTTGGATTTTTGCTGCGATACCTGATGAATAAATGTCAGTATTTGACATCAATACGATGTTGGCTTAAGATGTTGGCTTGACGTTGGATTTTTATCACTTTCCAACAGCCATTTGATGTTGTTATTGTCTTCAAAATAACACTGTCCTTAGACGCTAGCTAGACATTGAATTTTGGTCACCTGACGTCATGATCTACAGTAAATATCTAAGAAATTAATAAATTAACGTCATATTGTGTGCCTGCTAGAATCCATTCCAATCATCAGAGAAATCTGATAGTTCAAGCGTTAAAGCTTTAGTTAGAAGCGTTAAGAGTTAAATGTTCATTGATTTAGAGACCAAAATAATTTGATCATATAAATGGCAGTGTGAATGCTAAGCAAGTTTGTTTTTTAACTTATTTAATAGATGTTTACTAACTTGCTGAGGGTTGAGGAAGGTGGTGGTAGCTTCCTGATGGAGGAGCATCTTTTGGTTCAGGATGTGGACAGCTCGGAAGATCAGCTCAGGATACACATGAAGACCAAACCCCAACATGGACGGCTGGAGCTGCAGGGAACGGCCATGCTAGAAGGAGACAGCTTCACTCTGCGGGACCTCAAAGCATTGAGGGTCAGGTATGAATGGTATTGAAAAAAAGATTCAAACTCTTTGCCGGAAAATACTGTTGAAAATGTCTACCCTATTTTAACCCTATTTTATAATAATAGATACATTCATGATGACTCTGAGACCCAAAAGGATAGCATTGGACTTACAATCACAGACGGAATCAACTCAGCACATGGAGCACTTTTAATTCAGGTAAAACAAATAGCATTGCTTTTTAACACTCAGCATCATATTATCAAAACCTCTTTAAAGTACATACTATTTTCATTTATTTATCAGATCCTGCCTGTGAATGATGAACCGCCACAGTTGGGCTCTGATTTGAAGGCAAAGCTGTCCTGCAAAGAGGGGGGTCAGGTTCAGATTACGGTCGAGTACCTCTCTGCTACAGATGTTGACAGCGATGACACTCGGCTAACATACATGCTTGCCAGAACACCTGGGCGTGGGGTCATACAGCGAAACGGGGTCACTGTGGACAAGTTCTCCCAGCTGGATGTGCTCAATGGACTCATCTTCTACCTGCACACAGGTTATAACACAGGCACAGGAGGCTAGTTAGGGATACTTAATGACAATTAAGTCCTGCGTCTGGCATTAAATAATCTAGTGAACTACTCACCTGCTGTTAAAAAAAAATGGTAATGCACTAACATTAGAATTCAAGATTACACTGAGAAGGCAGATTATTATAATTTATAAATAAAAAAAACATACAAATTAAAAAAGGTTCAAATTTTCAGTTTAGCAAAAAAAAAAAATACAACAAGAATAATACATAAACTCAAAACAACCTAATTCACTGAAAGAAATAAACAATTAAAACAAATAAATATTACTATTAAATAATACAGTAATAAGATATTTGTCTCATTTATATACTTTCAATTGTCCAACAATTCAACAAAAGAGTAGGGAGATTAATTTATTAGGTCTTCATTGATTTTAATAATGTAGGTATCACAATATTATTATGTACAGTATAAACAAATGTACAAAAACAAGAAATGTGATAAATGCCAAATAGGACTTAACATCTTTAGGCACTTTCGCACAGGAGAAGCGTAGTGTTAGTGGAAATTAATTTTTTTTTTTTTTTATGTGTTTTTACCACAGACACTGTGCATTTTTAAGGATGTTAGGGATGAATTTAGTGTTAGGAATGCAGAGAGGCTATAAATCACTTTCCAAAATCTTTTCATTTAATGTTCTACACTGGTGGAATGATCTTTCTATTCCCACACAGCCTGCAGATTCACAGGTATCCCTCAAACGACAACTAAATACACATCTTTTCTGTGAGCACCTGAATGCTGATGAATAAAACTAAGACCTCTCTACTTCCCCCACCTTACTGCACACCAACCCAAAATACTATATTTTTGAGTTCTGTAAGAATGTGCCTCTTACTTACTTACATATAACTTATACTCTTTCTTTGTATAACTAGCACTTCTTGTGTATATTGGCTCTTCTTGTTGAATCGCTGAATGCCTCCTCAATTGTAAGTCGCTTTGGACAAAAGCATCTGCTATATGACTAAATGTAAATGTCAATTAGGGGAATTAAATAATTTCTACCTCAGAGAATAGCCTACTAAACAACAACAAGAACTCCCAGTGACATAAATGTATTGATTGGGCCATACAAAACACTGGTACAGTAGTGTAATGTTACCTTTCACCTTAAGGCTGCTTTATATTTCTAAATTGAGTGATCGCCATGACCCAAGGCACATACTTCTGGCGCACTGTTTGTGTAGCTTTGCAATAACACCTCCGAAACACTAGCTGGCAGTGAGGTTTTTATGGTCCTCAGTGTCGAGATTCTTCGTCTGTGTTTTGTTTTTCTGAATGCTACCTTAATGTAGAAGTAGCTAAAACACGCTTATTCTGAGGCGGGAGCTGGCAGACATGCAACAACTTTAACAATAAGGTAAACTCGAAACAAAGTTTCCATTGCAGCTCCTTCACGGGACTTGACACTTGTAAACACTCGCTTCAACAAGTCTGCGCCGCTATCAGCCACGCCCACACTCATCAGCGCAGAACTTATGCTATGCAACATTGTGATGTGTAGTTAAATTTTTTTAAGAGTGCACATCAGCGTTGGCGTCAGGGCTATGCAGCCGCGCAAAGGCTGCAGCGGACCATACACGTACACTTGACGCAGAAGTATAAATCAGTCTTTAGTCTGCATTTTTGTGTAAAATGGTTCAAGGTGGTAAATTGATTTCTTGGGGACCAGCCTAGTGGCTAGTTCCAATAACTAAGTTCCTAGAATCATGTAAGGTGCCAATATTTCATGCATCCCTAATAAGTCATTGACACTGAATGCATAAAAGTGGCAATTAGCACATTCCAATGCAATACTATTCTATTGTTTATAAATACACATTTGCTTGAACAAGTCTTGCATCTTTTGCACAGCCTCATGAGCACCATGTTTTTAAGATGTCATGTCAGGGTAAAATAATTTAAACTATGACATGCAGCGCCACTCACTGTCAGTTCCAAAGCAGCGGACCGATATTTGGGCAAGATATTTGACTGCAGCATGACAGAAGAGGCCCTATTTTAAAAACTATTCAGCTTTTTTATGAAAAGACGAAGGGCGCTATTTTGACGATCCATGCGCAAAGTGCAAAGCTCAGGGTACAAACGCATTAGGGGCGTGTTAGAATCCATTTTGCTAATGTAAGGATGGAAAAATCCACTTTGGGCCGTGGCGCATGGTCTAAAAGGGTTGAGCTTATTTTCTTAATGAGTTATAGGTGTGTTTTGAGAATAAACCAATCAGAGTCTCAACTCCCATTCCCTTTAAAAGTCAGTTGCGTTGCGCCATAGCACATTTGCTATTTACATGACGACTTTGTAAGTAAAAAACTGAACATTTCACTAGCAAGAAAACAGTTAAACAGAGCATCTGTGCATGAGAATGAGAGATAAGCCTTCTCATTATCTACTTTCACTTTTACTTTCGCTCTTGTGGATAGGGTAACCTTGTACGCACAGACATCAATTAGCCTATAAATAATTAATTTTGTTTGTTAATCACAAAGATTTGTTTCAAAACTATTTCTAAATTCACTTCCAATTTCCAGCAAATGAATAAATGAACAATAACGATGTGTGTTCAAAAAACTGAGTTATATCTAAATACACATGCTGTGCCCCATATGTTCTAAAACCTGACGGTTGGGCAAATCTAAGCTTGTTTTTAATAAAATAAATATAAATATGCATGTAATAAATATTACTGCTAATAATAATAACATTATACAAACGCAAATTGTTATGAATAAACTGAAAAAGCCCCTGAGATGAAGATAGCATGAAGGCGGTGGTTTTTATATTTATGTAGGCTAAAAAATAATATGCTTTGTAATATTTTAATCCTTTAAATTTATATCCTATATATATATATATATATATATATATATATATATATATATATATATATATATATATATATATATATATTCTTATTATATCCTGCGTACATTCAATTTCAGTTTTAAAAAAAGTGAATGTGTATAAACACACTTCCCTCTTTCACTAGGTGGTGAGATTGGACCGGATCCTGTCTCGGACACTGTCACCCTCATTGTGTCAGATGGAGAGGCTGGAACAATGGACGGCTGCTGCCAGGAGGACGCTCTCCCCCCTCCCGTCCCCCTGCATGGCACGCTTCCGGTCTATGACCTGAACATCACTGTGATGCCTGTCAACAACCAGGTCCCAACCATTACGCTGGGTAAGCATCTACCACTGGGCCTGGACTAAATCTTTTAGTGGACCAAACAAAACAATTCAAACACTGGTGCCTGCTTAGCGTTGAGGGAGCGAATGGATTAAAACAAGATGCTGTCTAATCTAGAGTTAATCGCCAGAGCATTTGGCTAAGGTGTAATTAATTCATCGTAATGACAATCCGCTTAAATCAAGTAATTAAGCGACCAGGAATTTTCCAGGCAGGTGACGGACCACAGCTTTGGCGAACGAATCGCTTAATCGCAGTCTCACACACCCAGCTCAGGGAGTGTCACGAATGCAAGCGTTTCGTTTTTCAGCACAAACATTTCGCAGCAGGGTGCTGGAGACATCTCGCCAAAATGGGGATTTCACTCTTAATGCCAGAAACTTTGCAGTTATCAATGGGGAACAGTGACCAGAGCAAGACAATGAGCAGAAAACTGCAGCTAGGTGCCGGTGGGACGGCCACAGAAAATCCTAACATCCTTGTCGTCGGTGCATGTGGGGCGGCAGACGTACACACAGCTGGTTGGGATTAGAGAAAGCGAGAGCTGAAAGAAAAAGCGTAGTAGAAAGAGATACACGTTCCCCTGAGAACAACTGGACAATAGGGACACCGAAGAGAATACAATAGACAGCCTTGCATTTAGAAAAGACGACACGTTCATTGTGTCTATCATTCAATCTCAATTATAATCTCCTAATTCGGTTAATCCGCATCAAAAAAAGAGGATTCTCCAGTGTTGCCCGCGTGTAGTGTATTGGGAAGGGGAAAAAGTAGACATTTAATTAATTTGCATTGAATAAAGATCTGCTGGCGTCAGAGCTATAAGCGCAGGAAAATGAGAGGAATCCAGCTCTCCGCCTTGCCCTGCGATGGGACGAGTTTTATCACTTTTACTCCAGGCTGGCGGTCATTAATTCCACCCCTTGTTTCAGAGCTCTATCCAAGCACAACCTCATCAGTGCCCATTCTCCATTCATTATTTATCAGCACAGTAAATGGAAGCAGATGCCAGTAAGCATTGGCATGATGGCTTTATCAACACCCAGGTGGCAGCGGGCTGGCCGAGAGCCGAGCGGAGTGCAGGGGAAGAGAAGGGAGTGTTAGTGGGGTGGCGTAGCAGGCGTGAGGAAACAGGGGAGGAGGGGGTACTGCCTGTAAATGAGAGGAAGATGAAATTTTGGGACACTTTTAGTTTTCTAAAATGATATCTCTGTGGTTAGTGCCAATATTATTACTTACTGTATGCTATTCTAATATTGTTCCATCAGGCGGCATGATTGTGGTAGATGAAGGTGCCAGAGCATGTCTGTGTGGGGGGGTGTTGGAGGCCAGCGATCCTGATAGTCGTCCAGAAGAACTCATGTTTCACTTGGTCACCCCGCCTCAGTATGGGTTCCTGGAGAACACCCTTCCATCCCCTGGCTTCGAGAAAAGCAATGCTGGACTGAGAGTGGGTTAGTATGATTCCTGAGGTTTCTGTAAATGTACCCAGTGTCTGTGATCATGCCAAAAAAAAGTGTTGTCCAGGAATCCGTCAAACGAAATGACATTTTCTCTTTTAAATATAGTACAAATCAGTGACAATATTTCAACAAAAAATTTTACTCTGTCATCATTTACTCAACCTCATATCAATTCAAACTATGGATGCACTACATTTTGGCCACCAAAAATAATCTGCTCAAAAAGTCGTATTCGGTTTTCTCCAGATGTCCTTGCTTTAGCTCGCAGCTGATGACGTAGGCGATTGACAATGTAGGCGATTGTAGTGGACCTTATACCGCCCACTAAGGTAATGGCCATGCTACTGTGATGGTTGGGTTTAGGGTAGGGGGAGGTGTAGGCGATCGTCAACTACTTAGTGGACCTTGTACCACTCACTAAGGTTTGTTGCAAAATACCAAAGTATTCCACTTTGTGTAGCATGTACTACTCATGCTCACCGGAAAAGCAAAGTTTACTCAAATAACATGCCAACAGGACACTTCTATACAGTATATTTGTTCCTGCTACTTGCAATGGCACTACTGAGCTGTCATGGCAATGCTAGTAAAATGATGCCACTGTCAATGAAATTTTACTGTCAATAAAACGTGGTTATTTTATTAGTTTTTTATCACTGTAATTTAGTTTAGTTCAATTTAAAACAACAGGTTTTCATTTCTGAAAACGAAGCCCTGTATATGTTTCTTTAGATCGCGAATTATGTAGCCCGAAGTACATATGCCTGGATTGAGTCTTTATTCTTTAAATAATAATAATAATAATAATAATTCGTTACATTTATATAGCGCTTTTCTGGGCACTCAAAGCGCTTTACACAATGGGGAGGGAATCTCCTCATCCACCACCAGTGGTTAAAACAACTTCTACGTGGCTTATGATGTTGTTTCTTTTTGCGTTTACCAGCTAACCGTTTACGGCCATATAGATGACTTTTCCGCTGTTACCAATTTGTTGATTTAGCTCGCCATGTACATCAGCGGACTTGAGATGCAGAATGGAGTTGACCAACGTAATTCGAGTCCAGCGAAGAACGGTTCCAGAAAGCATGTAAGACAATAACAGAAGCCAAAAATAAAAATAAACAAGTAAATAACAGGGTGAGAATGTTGTAAAATCTGAAAACGTGGTAAAAATCCGGCGAGGGTTTTTCTTTTTCTGGATTGTTTTTTTAAAACTGTCGGTTGGGTTTAGGGAAGTGAGTGGGCAGATCAATCGGTGCTACTGAATACACTAATGGTTGGTTAGGGAAGGAGGAGGGTGGGTCAGTCGATCACTCAGTCAGTCAGTCAACAGTGGCCTCTGGTGGATTTTTGCGAGAACAACAGAAGTGAATGGCACTCGCTAGAGAAATTTAAGGTCTCAAAAAGTGTACACAGTGGCCTCTGGTGGATTTGCAAAAACAAGAACTGCAAAAAAACTTACCTCCTGGGACATATTTGGTGCGCATTTTAAATGAGCCCGGGTTTATTTAAAAGTCATCCAAGTAACTTAAAATATTTAATAAAATAATAAATAATTATTACAATTCAGTTTCGCTTTTGGCCAAGTTCATTCAGAATTTTCGGTTTCAGTTCTGGCCCAGAATTTTCATTTCGGTGCATCCCTATTTCATATGAAACACAGAAGGATGTATTTTGTTAAGTTTGTTTTTGGCCTTTAATATAAAGACTAAACATTTTAAATGCTGTCTATAGATTTTAAAGTCCCAAGACAAGCCCTGTGCATTTTTTTGGCTAAATCACAATTCATCATTTCTTTTGTGTGTCCTGTTTAAATGTCCTCTTTTAAAGACCTCATCCATACTAAGTCATATCATATAAATAAAGTTTTTTTCAGCCAGCTCCACCTCAGTTCGGGTTTCATCAACTATGTCCAGTCGGTGCACCAGGGTGTGGAGCCTACAGCAGACTTCTTTACCATCAGTGTCAGTGACGGAATGCAAAGATCTGCACCATTGCACGTCTACATCATCATCAACCCCACCAATGATGAGGTTCCATCACTGCTGCTTAGCAACTTCACAGTAAGATTGTATTACTTAAAGAGATAGATAAATGATCTCATCATTTATTCTCCCTCATGTGGTTTTAAACCTTCATGGGTTTTTCTTCTGAATGCTGGCACCCATCCACCTCCATGGCAGGAAGTGTTCCTTTTGTGTTAAACAGAAAATTTCTTCCATTTGAAGACAAAAGCCCCTTTCACACATACAGACCTTTCCGGAAAATTTTCCGGAAAGGTTGTATGTGTGAACAGGTCCTTTTTAAAAATACCGGTAAATTCGTTCTGGCTATTTTCCGGAAAGAGAAGTTGTAACATTACCGGCAATTTGCCGGAATGCTGCGCTGTGTGAATGCAGAAGGAAGATTCCCGTAATAAGCGCGTGCTCGTCTAGAACGTGCTGACGTGAGACGTCTGCTTTAGCCAATCACAACAGTCAGACGCATTTACGTCCGCGCGGTTTGTGAGAATAAAAGCCTTTGAATATTTTTCCAGACACATTTAGCTGCTAGAAGTTAGTCAGATCACGTTTATATGTTCTTCTTAATGCCAACTGTGTAAATAATCATCGATGAGATGCTTATGATAAGCCGTTGTTTGTTTACCTTCAAGCTTTGCGTGCGCCTATGAGCGCCTGCACACGCACATATTATGAACATCTCGACATGCGAAAGTGATCCTGGGAAAGTTGTTCACAATATTGATCATCCACAGAGTTTGTAATTTAGTCAAATGTTTACAAATACAAGCGCAGCCGTTTAAAGCTCATTTGTGGTAAATGATGTCAGAATTTACTGGTATTTTGGAATGGATGTGTGAATGCTCTTTTCCGGAAAATTTCCGTAACGTCCTCGCCTGTGTGAACAGCTTTTTTGAATATACCGGTAAAGTCGTTCCGGAAATTTTCCAGAAATTTACCGGTATCACTGTGTGAAAGGGGATATAGTCTTATAATCAGCAACTTCATGACTAGCTGTTGCACCTGTTAATAGGTCATGGAGGGAGGAATGAAGGATCTCAGCCCTGATATTCTAAACGCAGTGGACGTTGATATCCCAGCAGAAAGTCTCACCCTGACCATCTTGGATCCCCCAGCTCATGGCACTCTGATCAATGGCATATATGGTCTTGAGATGAATCGTTACAAAAGCATGAACCCAGAGGTTCTCCAACAAACCTTAGCAATCCAGTCCTTCACCTTGGAGGAGCTACAGCAAGGTCAGTTCTTAAATTGGTAATGTTACAAACTTTCTCACCCAAATTCCAGGGTATCACTATTTGCTTGTTGAGAAAGGTTGTAAGGACAGCTTCCCTTATCAAGCACCCAACCACATCCCTTGGTGCCGTCACTGTGGGTACCCAGGCTAGCAGAACAGATGTTTCCAGAGACAAAGGTCACAATGTGCCTATGGTGCTTCTGCTTCATCTGCAAAGTCTTTCCAACTGCTCTAATCACAATTAAGTCACTGTGCATGAGGTGCTTGCTTGTTAGCAAGTGATAAAGCGCCATAGAAGTGTAGGTGAGCAGGTAACTGACAAAATGGGACATTTCGCTTCAACTAGAAGCTACCAGTCAGCGAACACCTTGTGACCGTTATATTGTAATTGCTACTAAATGCTTAATCCCCTAAAATCTGCTTTGAATTTCTCTCTCTTGTCCCGATCCATAGGAATGAAGATCATGTATATGCACGATGACACAGAAACCCTCAAGGACGCTTTCACCATACAGTTGACAGATGGTGGGCACACAGTCCAGGGGACTGCGTGTGTCCGCATCATACCAGTCAATGATGAAAAGCCATGGCTACTAAAGTAAGGACGCCCTGGGACAAATCCCGAGCCAAAAAGGCGGATGAAAGCGGGAACGGGGGAGGGATTTTAGTGGCGGAGACTGGACAGGAACAGAAGGGGGAGGCCGTACTTGGATGCGGTTTACGAAAGGGGGGTCAACACAACCTGTACTGCACATGTGGCTGGGGAATCTGTGTCTCCCTGACTGAGTAACTGGGAATTAAGTTACATCCTTGAGTAAATTGCTAATTTTTATTCCATCCTTTTCCTCCAAGATCAGCAAGATCTGAGGGTGTGCATGTAAACTCCGAAACAGCAGAAGTAATGTGTCTTTTTGGCAGATGCCTGCATCCTTGTTTCAGAGTCCTAGTGGATTAGGTTAACAGGCCCGTCCTGCTTGCGTTCCCTTCCTTCTAGAAGCAGCTGTTTGTGTATTTATTTATTTAGGATTGCGTAATTTAGCATGCAGGCTTGGCACCGGTACCTTCAGTGTCCAAAGCGTCTCCGTCTTTGTTCTCAGAAATGCAGGCGTTGAGGTCGAGGCCCTGGAGAAGAGGGTAATCTCCAGTGTAGTGCTGGAAGCAGGGGATCAGGACACTCCCAGTGACCATCTTCTCTACATCCTCAACGCAGGTCCAAGATTTGGCCTTCTTCAGCTCAGGGTTAGTAATGACAGATAATCTTTTACAATGTTCTAAATGCTGCTACACACTACATGACTTTTTTGAAACTTTACCAGACTACAAAACAGCCATTATTCAGACATACAACCCAGCTAAAAGGGAACATCCTCACAACCTTTATAATGTTCCATTAAAGTTGTGTAAATGTTAACATGTGTCATTAGAACAGTCTTGTAATGTTGATAGGAAAATGTTCTTAGAACATTAATATAATGTTAATTAAATGTTCTAATAACTTTTTTAATGACGTTCTGAGAACGTGAAAATATTTTTAACAACATTATCATAACCAAAAAATAAAATTACTGTCTAAAAAACTGGACGTTTGAACCTTCCACAAAATCTTATTATCTTTATTACTTACTGAGAACATGAGAGAAATGTTCTTAGAATATGAATATAATGTGAATAGAATGTACTAATAACGTTTTAAATAACATTCTGGGAACATCAATTTAACATGAGATTCAAATGTCTTGAAAACATTTTCAATATCATTATTAAAGTCAAACAGTAAAGTTAATACATCATCTAAAAAACTGGACGTTATAAATATCCTTTGAAGATATTAAAAGGTATTAAAGCTTATTAAGATATTAAAAGATATTAAAGCTTTAAGATCCTTCTACAATAACCTTTTTTGTAAATTCAATTGAATGTTCTAAAAGTTGTTTAAATAACATTTTGAGAACATTAGTATAAGATGAAATTGAATCATTATGAAAACTTTTTGAGCAACATTATGTAACGAGGCCAGCTAGTGAAGTGCTATGCAGTTAAACCTCACTCATCTGACCTCAAAAGGTGTGACAGATGCTAAAGATCATGGTCTTTAGCTTCCTTGTTAGAGAAACCGACACCCAAGCAAAGAATTGCCGGATCAATCCCAGCTCAGACTGGGTTAGGTGTAGTAGGACCGGTGGGTTACAAGTGGGGTTTAGGGGGGTGAGTGTAACGAGGCCAGCTAGTGAAGTGCTGTGCAGGTAAGCCTCCCTCCTCTGATCTCAAAATGTGCTCTAGCGACAGATGCTAAAGGCCATGGTTTTAGCCTCCTTGTTAGACCAACCGACTCCCATGCAAAGAATCACCGGTTCAATCCCAGCTCAGACCGGGTTGGGTGCAGTATTATTATAACCCCAAAATTATGTTAATACATCATCTAAAATACTGGACATTTTGAACATTTAAAAACTAATGTTATACAACTTAATGGGAATATTTTCAAAACCTACATTTTTAGCTAGATATACACTTAAAAAGTGTACTACATTTAATGAAATGAGTTTCTATGATTTTCTGTAGACAGAGGCTGGGTGGGTTGATCTGAGCCCAGGTCAGAATTTCACCCAGGAGGATGTGGAGATGAATCGCCTGTGGTACTCTCACACTACAGTTAGTGGCTTCAAAGGTCACGACAGGTTTCACTTTGTCCTCACCGATGGGGAAAACACAACACCTCCACAGAGTTTCTTCATCTCGGTCCGCACAGTTCAGAAGGGTAAGTGTTATTGTGAACAATATGAAGTAACTATAAATCTAGTATGGGATCAGTGTGCTTCGAAATAAACACTTCAATGTAGTCTCTCGCTCTTTACGTTTTTATTTAAAAGGATTATGATATTCAGCAGACTGCAGTGACTATTCTGACCATCCAATTTTTGTGCAAAAAGGGTTTCCATCAACCTGTGTCACTGCACATTTTGAAGAATCACATGCGAAACGAGCGATAAAAATGCAAAATTTAGAAAAAAAAAGGTTTTACTTCTTGCTTGAGGTAGTTTTGGTCTTGTGAAAAAGGTTAATGCAAATAATCGGAGATATGCAATTGCCAAATAAACTTTGACCTATCGAACATTACACCAATGTTCACCAATTACACCATTATGCTTGCATTGTTTACTGTTGGTTGCTAGGTTACCAATACTATAGTCAGCCACTCTAAAAACTTGTTGAAAATGCCCCTAGTTGGCATTTTTTTTGCAAACTTTGTGAACATTTGCTTCACGTTAGGATGGAAATGCAGCTAGTGATCACTGCTTTTGTTTTCTCCTCAATCAAAGTCCAAAAAAACAACTTTGTTGACAGATTAAATCTGTGCATGTATAATTAAACACATTGGCTGCCCCCATGGTCAAAATGACTTTGCCAGTTGGGTGAACATGGAAGCATGGCAGCCATTGTTCTCTTGGCTCCGTTCTGGCTTATCCTGGAGGAACAGAGGTGAGAACGTTCTGCCGCAAAGGATGAGCCACCTTTAAACGCCCAGCATGAATTATTAACAGAGCCGGGGCCAAACATCTGTAGTCCTGGCTCTAGATCCCACTACTGTCACAAAACAAATTTCAGAAAGCTTACAATGACTTCTATTCCGTAAAAACTTTACCTATATATGTCTTTAACTCTTCATGCTGCATACAGGCGACATTGCTCTCATCACTAAGCCTGTGACCTTGCTGGAGGGAGAGAGAGTCATTCTGACCACTGACATTCTGACGGCCGCAGACAGTGGAGGCCGGCCAGATGAGCTCATATACACTGTAGCAGTGCCACCTGAACATGGTCACCTGCACATGGTCCAAACGCCAGGAGTACCAGTGTTCTCCTTCTCCCAAATGGATGTGGCTGCCAACCGGGTATGCTACACTCATGACAACAGCCGTTTTGCTGACCGTGATTCTTTCAGGTCAGTGCTTTTATTTGTTCTCTTTCAATTCTGCATTTATATTGTGAGGCCAGATTCCATTTTGGCAGCAGTCTGTTTATATTCACGTGAGCCAAATATGACTTGTATTGACGTGAATACCCCTGTGAAATAGCACAAGGTTGGTGTGTATATTAAAAAAAAAAAAAAACATTTAAAAGGGTAGTTTACACCCTGAAAGTTACAATTTGGCAGGGTTTCTGTTCCTGTTAATTCTATTCCAGACATTAAAAGTCATGGAGTTTTATATATTATTTTGTTCTAGTCATGAAATCTATATGAGTTTTTTTATTTTTTTATTTTATTTCAGATATTAAAAGTCAGGGATTTTCATAAAATATTTTGTCCTAGTCAGGGAATACCGGGGAGTTTAATTTAATCCTATTCTAGTCATTAAAAATCAGGGATTTTTAAATATTATTTTGTCCTAGTTATGTAATTTAATTTAATAAAATTTAATTTAATTCAATTAAATTTTATTTTATTTTATTCCAGTCATTAAAAGTCAGGGATTTTTAGATATTATTTTGTCCTAGTCATGGAATATAATTTAATTTAATTTAATTTAATTTAATTTAATTTAATTTAATTTAATTTAATTTAATTTAATTTAATTTAATTTAAAGTCAGGGATTTTTAGATATTGTTTTGTCCTAGTCATGGAATATCATGTAATTTAATTCAATTTAATTTAACTTAATTTAATTTTATTTTATTTTATTCCAGTCATTAAAAGTCATGGATTTTTAGATATTATTTTGTCCTGGTCATGTAATTTAATTTAATTTAATTTAATTTAATTTAATTTAATTTAATTTAATTTAATTTAATTTAATTTAATTTAATTTAATTTAAGTCAGGGATTTTTAGATATTGTTTTGTCCTAGTCATGGAATATCATGTAATTTAATTTAATTTAATTCCAGTCATTTAAAAGTCAGGAATTTATAGATATTATTTTGTCCTTGTCATGGAATATCTTGTAATTTAATTTAATTCTACTCCAGTCATTAAAAGTCAGGGATTTTTTAGATATTATTTTGTCCTCATCATGAAATATCAGGCTATTTTTCGATATATATATATATATATATATATATATATATATATATATATATATATATATATATATATATATATATATATATATATATATATATATAATTTTTTTGTTTTTAACAGAGGTCCACATTGTTTATTATATAAGAAAAAAGGCCCACAGTGGCTTCTCCAAATATAGCAAATTCAATTTTTCTTTTAAATATTTGGTTCCAGTTTATCAGGAAATTACAATTTTGGATGGATGAAAATGCTGCTTTATTCGCAAATGTTTTATGCGATATTACTGTTCTGCACATCAGCTCAATTTGAATTTTTGGATGGAAACATAAATATTCTTGCTCTCATAGTGACTATTAAAGGCATTCAAAATTATATTGAAGTTACAACCATTTTAATATTATTATTGCTTAAGTTACTTTAACTAATATTTAAGTACAATAGCATCCTGTTTTTCCATTTATTAGATGTCATGAAAATCAGTCAGTGAACATCGGAGAATTTGATATCTGGCTTAAAACGGAAACCCTGTTATTACAAGTCCATAATTAATGTATTTATCTTGGATTCCTGCTCCTCCATATTGTTTGAGATTACTGTAAATTGTGTAAAGACATGAGACATGCAAAAAATGAAAACAAGAGAGGCTTTTTGCTTCGTTTGCATGGGTTTCCAGCCAATTTGGCAGCAGGCTGACTTTAGTTGACCTGTGCTGCCTTTCTCGTGCGAATCTTTGACACCCAAAAACTCTGGCTTGGTTTCATGGTCGGGTCATCTGGGAGCAAACAAACCCTTCCCGAGCCAAGCCTGACGAGAGGGGGGCGAGCGGCCCTTCGGAGAGGGCACGGAGCACTCTGTGCCAATGTGTTCAGTCAGCACAGCATGGGGGTGATGCGGGGATCCAATCACCGCACATGGACACTACGGCGGTACTCATGTGGGGCTCGAGTACTTTCAATTAGCAATTCCAACACAATCACAAGAGGCGCAGCAAAAATATCTCATTTTTTTGTGTCTTCGCAGCTTGTATTTGTGTAAATGCAAGGCAAAAAGAGGCAGCTGGTGTCTCTGATCAGGAAAGACACCTGAGCAAACACCTGTGTGTCAAACTCCAGGCCGACAGCGGGGGCCAAAAGAGACAGGGAGACCTTTTTTTTTTTTTGTAAGCCTCCCTCTGCTCTTCCATGACAGCTGATGATAAATGGCCATTATTAAGAGAGTAATAACTCAGCCTGGCATTGGTTATACGGCTCTAAGAGATGTAGCCGGAGACATGGATCCCCGGGCACAATTACCGAGCAAATATGGGACAATGGCGATGCCAGATGTTGCACCAGTTTGGCTGTGAGAGTGGACCTGCGCGTTTTGGTTGCGAGTCTAGTGCGAGGTGGCAGTCGTGTTGTTTACCATGGCTGGCAATTATCAGCTTCGGGGCAATATGTGTTGGGAGGCAGATTGGCTTGGCAGAGGGTGGAACGGGGACTGGGATCAGCTTCGCACCCCTCCCTGTCCTGTCTTTCTGCTCCAACACATCAACCGTGTTGTTGGGTGAGGATAGCGGCTCAGAACATGCTGTAAATCTGACAAGGCCTTACAATAGAGCAATAAGATGCGAGAGGATGCATGTGTGATTTGACTATGGTTAAAGGGGTGTTAAGCAAGACTGGCAAGACAATGAGGGAAGGCAATGTGACAAAGTTTTATCTTGTGTAAGTAATGATATGTGTTATATATAAACAGTACCTTAATGTATTAAAAATCATAAATATTGATATTGAGAATAATAATAATTATTATTATTATTATAATGTTGTGGTTGTTGTTGTTATTAAATATATTACATATTGTGTTATGTAAAATGTATAATAATAATACACGTTTATTGTTACTGTTGTCATTTTATTATTAATTAACTATGAAATAAAATGCTAATTCGCTTAATTATTTTAACTATTTTGACATTAACAATAATAATAATAGTAAATTTACTACAATTAAATAATAATGACAACAATATTTTAAATAGCACAAGTATACTTAATAATAAATGTTAACAATAATACAATTGTATTATTGTTATTGTTGTAATTTTATTATAAATAAATATGATATAATATAAAAATACATGTTTTGTTATAATTATTAAATGTTGAGGAGTGTTATGCCCAATAGTAGTAATAATGTTATTCGATTTGCTATTAAAATTATTAATACTAACAATAATTAGGCTGGCTTGTGTAGCAAGCCAGACTACTGTTATCCTATTAAACTTATTATTATTATTATTATTAGGCTGGCTTGTGTAGCAAGCCAGACTACTGTTATCCTATTAAACTTAATATTATTATTATTCTTCTTCTGAGACTAAAAATTAAACTCTATCTCGTCCTAGGCCTTTCAAGCTATGACCATCAAACTTGGGTCAGACCTCCGAACTATTCTGACTCGAGTTGCTATATCTTTTCCGACTGATCCGACTTTCGGTTTTCCGAAAAACGTCCCGGGACCGTCGAAAAAATCCCATAGACGTAACATTGGATCAAACTTTGTGACCTCATAACTCCGCATCAGAATGTCACACAGACTTCTAACTGGGCTCATTTAACTCAGACTATCAAACTGCCAATGACTGATCACTTTTAAACTTTCTGGCCACGCCCTAGCAACCACTTTTGGACCCTAGAAACCGTCCCATAGACTTCCATTGCAAAAGACTCTCATTGACTTTACATGGGATCAAACTTTGTGAGCTCATAACTCTGCATCAAACTGTCCTACAGACTAATGGCTGAGCTCATTTAACTCAGTCTAGCCAGCAGCCAATCACTGATGGCCTTTAAACTTTCTAGCCACGCCCTAACAACCAGATACTGCGCCCTAGCAACTGTCCCATAGACTGCCATTAAAGAGGTTCAGACTGAAATTGTCATGCTGCAGTGTGATAGAGACATGGGGGTTGTTTTTAACTGTTCATACTGGCAAGAAGCTTTGATACATCATCAGTCTAAGCTGTCAATCAACTCCATAGCAACAAAACAGACTAACCTAGCAACGATATAACACCAGCTATATCTCAGCATCAGAACATCGTAGAGAGGCGGGGGTTGGCTTGTTTGACTCATGCTCGCACACTATCTATCTATCTATCTATCTATCTATCTATCTATCTATCTATCTATCTACCTCTATCTATCTATCTATCTATCTATCTATCTATCTACCTCTATCTATCTATCTATCTATCTATCTATCTATCTATCTATCTATCTATCTATCTATCTATCTATCTACTATCTATCTATCTATCTATCTATCTTTCTACATCTTTCTATCTATCTATCTATCTATCTATCTATCTATCTATCTATCTATCTATCATCTATCTCTCTCTCTCTATCTATCTATCTATCTATCTATCTATCTATCTATCTATCTATCTATCTATCTATCTATCTATCTATCTATCTATCTACCTCTATCTATCTATCTATCTATCTATCTATCTATCTATCTATCTATCTATCTATCCATCATGCTAACAACATGCTAATTCATGCTAGAATCATGCTAGTTACATGCTAATTCATGCTAGAATCATGCTAGTCACATGCTAATTCATGCTAGAATCATGCTAGTCACATGCTAATTCATGCTAGAATCATGCTAACAACATGCTAATTCATGCTAGAATCATGCTAGTCACATGAAAATTCATGCTAGAATCATGCTAGCAACATGCTAATTCATGCTAGAATCATGCTAGTAACATGCTAATTCATGTTAGAATCATGCTAACAACATGCTAATTCATGCTAGAATCATGCTAGTAGCATGTTAATTCATGTTAGAATCATGCTAACAACATGCTAATTCATGCTGGAGTCATGCTAGTAACATGCTAATTCATGCTAGAATCATGCTAA